GCATTGAGCTGAAGGTGGTTCCTCTGGAGCTGGTTCTTCTGGAGGAGGTTCCTCTGGAGGTGGTTCCTCTGGAGGTGGTTCCTCTGGAGCTGGTTCCTCTGGAGCTGCATTCAGCTGAAGGTGGTTCCTCTGGCACCAGAGGGTGAAGTCCTGCGTCAGCTCCCTGTACTCCCTGTCGTCCTCGTTGGTGATGAGGCCAACGATGGCGGAGTCGCCAGAGAACTTCTGCAGGTGACAGGTTGCAGTGTTGTGGGTGAAGTCTGCAGTGTAGAGGGTGAAGAGAAACGGTGCCAGCACCGTCCCCTGGGGGGCCCCCATACTGCAGATGATGGTGTCTGATTGACACTCCCTGGTCCTCACGTACTGTGGGCGGTTGGTGAGGTAGTCCAGGATCCAGGAGGTTCGGTGATGATCCACCCCCGAGAGCTGCAGCTTGTCCCCCAGCGGGGGCTGGATATCGGTGCGAACATACTTTTGACTAATGTGTGAACATACTTTTGACTAACTCCATTAATAATCTTACATGGATGAAAATAAGAGAAATAAAATGATTTAAAAAAAAAAGTTTAATATTGTTTTTCACAAAAGCAGTTGGACACATGAAAGATCGCAAAGCTAGAAAGTATATGCAACACAAAACCAATCACTGTTTATATATCAATTTATGAAAAATATGCAGTTATTTAAGTATTTACTTCTAAATGATAGGCCCCAACACAGTGTCTCCTGGAAAAAAGCAAGCTCTGAACTACTTTCAATGGACATGTCTACCATATCTTAAAAATATGTTTGGCCAAAAAATGGCTCCATTTGTGTTACACAGTACAAACATAGTTGATATTGTATCAAACCTGTATGATAATGGCACAGGCCAGATTGTACACAGAGGTCTGTTTGTTCAAATATATTTCTCAAATTGTGTTAAAGGAACATGCGGTCCCTGCTGTGAGAAAACCGTGTGTTCAGTTCCTGAGATTTCTTCAGCAGCCGCTCTTTCTGCGCTTCATCAAAACGATTCACCTGCAGGTCTTCATCTCGATCAAATGCTCTCCTCTCCACCGGAACATCAACCTTCTTCTTTGCTTTTTCCTTCATCGTCTTTGTGTGCATACTCACTAGAGACTCTGCACGTTTAGTCTCCTGATAACAGATTGAGGGTAAAGACAGTTTAATCCTCACTTTCATGTAAACAAGTGTACATTACATCTCATGTTATTTTTTGGACACACAAGGCAAAAGAATGGTGAGGTAATACCACTTACGTTATATTTTGTCACTTTTTCTGCCATTTTAATATCCTTAAAGCAGATTTGTGGGGTAACAACCTTCTCTTCCTCACCCTTGTTCTTTCTTTCAATGCGTTCCTAATAATCAAGAATAGAACCAGGAAATATAGGGAAGTCAAATATATGATACAAGATGGAATTACCAATAATAAATATGAAGATAAGTTATTTTGATTAAATACCCTGATCTTGCGCTCCCTGTCTTCTGGTGTATCTGTCCACATGGAGCGATCCTTGTTCTCTGGGCCCGACTTCTTCTTGAAGGTTCGAGCTCCCAAACCAATGTGCTGCAGTTCTGGTGGGAGCACTGTCATCCATGTTTCTCTGGCCACCACCTCAGAAGTGTCCTTTTTTAGACAGAAATACACACAGGAATAAATTAAGAGAGCAGATGAGGAAAACGTTTTGGGCAATTCATAAAAAGGAGTGGGAATCCTTCCAACCAGATATTTTGCTAAGATATTGTGTTTGTGTTTCTATGCATTTCCATTTTTCAATCTGTAAGCATATAACTGAGAGAGTTTTGGGGGCAGAGATTGCAAAAGTACACATATCCTTTACTCAAGTAGAAGTACAGATACTTGTGTTTAAAAATAAACGTCTTTACTCAAGTAAAAGTAAAGAAGTATGGGCTTCGAAATGTACTTAAGTAAAAAGTACCCATAACTACCATCTGTTTTAAAGAGTAACTGACCTCCCTTTATATTAATAGAACATTAATGTCATTGTTAGCTAATGAATGTTTCGATGCTGAACAACGGCAAAATGACAAAGTTCTCATTGGTCGATCTTCTTTAGAGAAGACCAGGAAATTATGGATACACGGATCGTGTTCGGTCTCAATCAATAGGCACGCAATGGCTCTAAATAATAATGGTCACGCCACAAAACACAGATTCAAACTAAAGTAACAAACCTGTTTGGAAAATGTAAGAAGTAAAAAGTACAGGTATTTGTGTTAAAAATGTAAGAAGTAATAGTAAAAAGTCATCAGAAAAACAAGTAGTGGAGTAAAGTACTGATACCAGAAAAATGTACTTAAGTACACTAACAAAGTATTTGTACTCCACTACGTCCCACCTCTGTTTGGGGGTGTAGACTACACAGATAAAACTGAGGGGAGGACTCACATCTCCGGTCAGCTTATCTTTCATCTTTCGAGCCCTGCGCTCAAAGTCCAAAGCAGTAGAGTCTTCAACAGGCCCTTTGTGTGGCATGGGTCCAATCACATCATCTTCTCCCTCGCTGCAGGAGGAGTCGGCCTGGTAACCAGGGGGTAGGGCAGGCCCTGGGAAATCCTCCTCTTCTTTATTATCGTCATCATCGTCTTCATATGCTGCTCTACGAAACCCAGGAGGTAAAGCTGGTCCCAGCACAGGTGGCCTGAGGAGCACAATGAAGTTACACCTTCAGGAATTCACATTTTATCCATATTTATCTACATGATCAAATCATTGTGCCTACCTTTCTGGTGAACTCTGTTGTTTCATGAATCCTGGAGGTAGGGCCGGTCCAAAGAAACCATCCTCGTCTGGTTCTTTTACCTTTGTGTCCTCCACTCTGTTCAACACACACATGTTATTGTTTTTTATTTTTATAAATGCATATATTTCTATAACTCCGAGTCCATTAATTAACGTACTTTTCAGAAGAACTTTGTGCAGCTGTGTGACTTGTTTTGGCTCTCTTGAACGTCACCTCCTCTTCACTGTCCTCCGAGGAGCTCGAAGGCTCTCCCCGTTTGTAGCCCGGAGGCAGAGCCGGGCCGGAGACTAAAGAAAAGAGAATTAACAACCATGGGAAAAACAACCTAGTATGAATATTAGTGAATTAAAATCGCAATCAAGGTGTTTTATCCCATATACACTCACATCCTTCATCACTATCAGAGTCCTCATCGTTCTCCCTGTTTCTGAACATCGGAGGCAAAGCAGGTCCAATTAGTTCATCAGACGACATATTTGACGATGATGACTTACACGTATATTTAGTAGTTTCTAAAAAGAAAACAACAACATACAAATAGGCTTCTTTATGAACCAAAGGCTCCTCAAAAGGACAGTTTGACCTTTCACACAGGAAGTAAACAGTGTCTGATGGTGTCAAGTTACGTAAATAACAAGAAGTACGTTTATGTGATGCAACAATAAAAGCACAAGAAATTACTTGGCTATTTTAAAATGTATTAAATATTATATATATTCCTAAAACTGCTGCTTGTTCATTTTTATGAGTAATTTAGACGTTTGGTGGGCATTAATTTCGCCAATTAAGTTAATTTAAACAAATCAGGCACATGCTTTTCAAATGAAGGTTTTATTTTGAAGTCTCAAACCGGAAGTTATGTATCTACATTATTGAGTGTACTAACTCAACACCGTCGTATACATCGTGGTCAGACTACAGTCACTGGACTTCGTGTTCAGAAAGATTATGAGGATAAACTTACAATGTTTTGATAGAAACCACCAATTTGAAAATTAAAAAAATGGGAAGAAAGGATAAAGGAGATCGGGGTAAGTTGCTAATGCTGCCGTTTAACCTAGCTAACTATAGCTGTTACTGTAGCTCTGTTAGTACTTTTTGTTGTCGAGCTGGATGTATATTTTTGTAAATTGTAGTATTCTTACTTCTATTTTTATCTTTAATATTTTATGCATGCCTCTTAATTAATATGTTGCTGTTTTAGCTCTCTAGTTTTGCTGTAACTCTTTACATTTCCTGATTATTTTAAAACAATACAATTCAATTGACACTGATGTATTATTGATTTCAGTTAATTATCTACCTCTATTACTTTCTATAATGTTTTTTAACTCATACTGACAGACAAGAAGTCCAAAAAGCGTCTCTATGAGGAGGAAGACGATGAAGAAGAGGCAGGGGGCAGTGAGTCTCAGGAGGCCATTCCTGCTGCTGCAGGGAAACAAGTGGATGTGTCCAGTACAAAACTTGATGAATATGGAGCCAAAGATTACCGTGTTCAGATGATGCTGAAGAATGATAACACTTCGCGCCCCCTCTGGGTGGTAAGATGTCTTTCGATTGTTGAGTTTACTTATTAAAGGATTTCAAATTTTACACTGTATTTCAGAAGATATCTCTCTGCATTCCTTTATAATATATTTGTAATCTTCCTCCTCTTCTCCAGGCTCCAGATGGACACATCTTTCTTGAAGCCTTCTCACCAGTGTACAAGTACGCACAGGATTTCATGGTGGCAATTGCAGAGCCAGTCTGCAGGCCTAATCATATCCATGAGTACAAGCTGACGGCCTATTCCCTGTATGCAGCGGTCAGTGTGGGGCTGCAGACCTCTGATATTGTGGAGTACATGCAGAAACTCAGCAAGACCTCTGTACCTGATGGCATCATTCAGTTCATTAAGGTCTGAATTGAGTGTCTGCTGATTTCAAGGAAGATTACACTTTCCAAATGTATCATATTTAATGTCATGTATGCAAACTTTGGGTATTTAATTATTGTTTTTTCTCTCTCTTCAGCTCTGCACTGTGAGCTATGGAAAAGTGAAGCTGGTACTCAAGCACAACAGGTAAAGTCATTTCAACAACCATTCCTTCTTTCTTTACATTAATCCTCCCCTTTGGGCTTTCTTAAAAATGTGCGGCTTTTTATTCAGGTATTTTGTTGAGAGTGCCTTCCCTGATGTGATCCAGCGCCTTCTGCAGGACACTGTGATCCGTGAATGTCGTCTCCGCACTGCAGACGGAGCGGACACCGAGCTTATAACTGAAGTTATTCGCAGCAAGTCAGCAGTATGCAATGCAACTTTTTTTTACTTGCACACAAAAGTAGAAAGTTCTATTTCTTTATTTCAAGTAAACTTTGAATCTAATTGAAAAGCTGTAGCAAGTCATGTTTTAAAGATGTAAGAATATATATGTAACAGGAATTTGAGTTGTTGTCCTGTTCATTCACTTACCAATGCCCCTCTATGTCTTTATTTCTGACAGATTTCCAAGTCTATTGAGGAAAAGGGGGATCCGTCGACCTCACAGCAACCCAGCGACGGACAAACTTCAACCCAGCAGGTACCTGAAGACATCTTTAGCTACTATGAGCAAATGGATAAAGAAGAAGAAGAGGAGGAAGAGACTCAGACTGTGTCTTTTGAGCTTCGCCAGGTACAAATCAGATTTTTCCTTTTTTACAAACGTACATTGCTGCTGACATTTATTGGTTGCCTTGTTTCCAAAAAATGAATGCGTAATCCTATTTTAATGCACTTCTCTGAACTGTTCTACTGTGATCCTGTGTAGGAGATGATTGAAGAGCTGCAGAAGCGTTGCATTCAGCTAGAGTACCCCCTCCTAGCAGAGTACGACTTTCGCAATGATACATTCAACCCCGACATCAATATAGACCTGAAGCCCACCGCTGTGTTGAGGCCCTACCAGGAGAAGAGTCTGCGCAAGATGTTTGGGAATGGACGGGCTCGCTCTGGGGTCATCGTGCTGCCCTGCGGTGAGACGGCTGGTTCACAGGAGGAGAAGGGAACATTGAGTTACAAAACAGAAAGGAGACCCCCAAAGCATTTCCTGGTGGTAGAGCTTGTGTATGAAATTATATTGTACAAGATCTTTCTAAATATTTGCTTGAAAAAAGGGATATACTTTTGTACTTTGTAGATTTTTCAATTCCCTAAATGTTAGAGTACTTCCTCAAGCACAACTTACTATTATATTTTTTTGTTACATCAAACCTGTGTGTAAAATGTAGGCCTCAATGTTTTATTCCCAGGTGCGGGTAAATCTCTGGTGGGCGTGACCGCAGCGTGCACGGTGCGTAAACGCTGCCTGGTGTTGGGGAACTCCTCCGTGTCAGTGGAACAGTGGAAAGCTCAGTTCAAGATGTGGTCCACCATCGATGACTCTCAGATCTGCCGCTTCACTTCTGACGCCAAGGACAAACCCATTGGCTGCTCAGTGGCCATCAGCACCTACTCCATGCTGGGTCACACCACCAAGCGCTCCTGGGAGGCGGAGAGGGTCATGGAGTGGATGCGGAGCCAGGAGTGGGGACTCATTATTCTCGATGAGGTGCACACCATCCCTGGTAAGCTGTAACTTTGTTAAAGTTCTCCAGACAACTTGATATTTGCTTTTATTGTAAGAATATATTGAAGTTATGTTTTCAGAATCAGGATACCTTTATTAGTCCCACAGAGGGGACATTTACATTGTTACAGCAGAAGAGAGCCAAAGACAGCTTAATGTTACCTAAGCATGCATACAAAAAAGTACTAAAGAAAAAAAAAGAAATTATAATAAAGAAGTTACACATTTTACAAAAATACCTACCCTGTAACAGTTCTGAGGATTTAGCAGCCAGGTATATACTGCAGTTTTTAACGGCATATATATATATGCACATAGTTGGTATTTAACAACAAGAGGTGTTATAGTCTGTGTTGTTGTGTGTGTGGGGGTCTACTAGGGACCGTGCTGGTTATATAGTTTTGGGATGCAATGAGATATAGACCAGTGTTTCCCCTAGGTTTACTGCTTTGGGGGGGTGCTGCCTGAGCGGGGAGGGGTTTAAATCCTCTGGAGCAGAGAGAGGAGCTGTGGATTATTGTTATTGATTAATGCATCAGTGTTTCTTAGGATCAAAAACACTAAACTCACAACTTAAAATGAAAGTGTTTAGATTATTTAATAAAAGAGCACATGTTCAATGTGAAAAGTGACAGTAGATATAGATTAGTTACAATTTGGTGCTATATACAGTGGGGCAAAAAAGTATTTAGTCAGCCACCAATTGTGCAAGTTCTCCCACTTAAAAAGATGAGAGAGGCCTGTAATTTTCATCCTAGGTACACTTCAACTATGAGAGACAGAATGGGGGGAAAGAATCCAGGAAATCACATTGTAGGATTTTTAATGAATTAATTGGTAAATTCCTCGGTATAAGTATTTGGTCACCTACAAACAAACAAGATTTTTGGCTCTCACAGACCTGTAACTTCTTATTTAAGAGCCTCCTCTGTCCTCCACTCGTTAACTGTATTAATGGCACCTGTTTGAACTCGTTAACAGTATAAAAGACACCTGTCCACAAGCTCAAACAGTCACACTCCAAACTCCACCATGGCCAAGACCAAAGAGCTTTCAAAGGACACCAGAAACAAAATTCTAGACCTGCACCAGGCTGGGAAGACTGAATCTGGAATAGGTAAGCAGCTTGGTGTGAAAAAATCTACTGTGGGAGCAATTATTAGAAAATGGAAGACATACAAGACCACTGATAATCTCCCTCGATCTGGGGCTCCACGCAAGATCTCACCCCGCGGGGTCAAAATGATCACAAGAACGGTGAGCAAAAATCCCAGAACCACACGGGGGGACCTAGTCAATGACCTGCAGAGAGCTGGGACCAAAGTAACAAAGGCTACCATCAGTAACATACTACGCCGCCAGGGACTCAAATCCTGCAGTGCCAGACGTGTCCCCCTGCTTAAGCCAGTACATGTCCAGGCCCGTCTGAAGTTTGCTAGAGAGCATTTAGATGATCCAGAA